CTGATGTGATATTTTGGCCTTAAGTTTTTTTTTTTCTTTTTTTTTTTTAAATTTTCACCTCATTAGTGGTCCATTAGTACTCCCAAATTAATAGGATGTATCATTGTTGATAGTATAATGCTTGTCAGGATTCACACGCAACCGTTACACTACGGCCTTTACACCCCACAACCGCAACTGCGCTACTGCCACCGTTACGGCGACCGCAACCGCTTTTGAGAACCTTGCTAATATGTGTTTAGATGCTGTTATTTAAAATCATGCTACGATGCCGTTTATGAGTAGGGTAGTAGTAGTTACCTCCGTTCCTCATCTGCATTGGCATTGGACCTGTAATTAGGAATCGGAACACGACCCGACTCAATGCGCCTTAGATCCTCAAGAAGTATATCATAGTGTCTCTTAACTTCCTCCGCAGATTTCCCTCCACCCACTGCCCTTGCTATGTTGTGCCACCGGTCCGGCGTGTCCTTGTCGTACTGAGCCAATGCCTGCTCAAACAGCTTGTTCAGCTGCGGTGTCCATGATGACAACGACCTACGTGAACTGAGAGAACTTGATGCCATAACTCTCACTCTCACTCTAGGGTTTACAAATCTTGAAGATGGTAAAGATTATGAAGTCAAACTTGATATGGATATGGAGAAAAAGACTTGTGTTTGTGTGAGAAGTCTAAAGTTGATATGGGTATGGAGAAAGGGGAGAGAGAGAAAGAGGGAGGATAAGAGGCTGAGGGATGGTATGGGGAAGAGATTGGCATGGAGAGCTGCTTATAAACAGTGAGTAGATGACAGAGTGTTAAAAAACAAGACTGGTGAAAGACGAAACACAGAAACAAACAAACCAAAAACACAAGATTTACATGATTTATTGCAAATTAAGACTCCTTTGACGACGTCACTTTTTATTTGTAAATACCAAAAGTTAACCACCTATATAAATGTTGAGTATAATTTTTTTATCTTATTATATTAAAAAATATAATCAGGGTGAAAGTGGGGTAAACTGGGGGCGGCGGGTTCAGCAAAATCCATCTCAATTCCAATTTGTTTTTTATTGGAGCGGGGCAGGGAATGCGAGGATGGAGTGTGATGGAAAAAAATTGTCATCCCTTAAAAGAGGCTTCTCTCTAGTCATCCTGGACTAAACCATGTTTAAAGTTGTGCACCATGAGTCCAACTTTCATAATTTTATCATTTTTTAGTTTTTCCATCGTAGGTAGAATATCCATACAAATAAATAAATAAAACTAATTTGATTATTGTAGTGTGGTGATTTTATCATCTTTATTTTTTGTTCTTTTCCAAACGTCCTCACCGTTTATTTTTTATAAAACAAAAATGATTTAAATATATAGTTAAATTATTGAATTAGTTAATTTTTTATGTGAATTATTTACACTCAAAAAATTAAAAAATAATAAAATAAATATTAAAAAATGACGACTCATAATAAGTCTTATAAATCCAAACAGTACGGTTGAATCTATAATAGGACAAGACATATGCCTTCCCAAAAAGAAATTATTAAATTTTATTAATTATTGGCCAACTCGATCTAATCCAAATTTTGAATTGTTTGACACTAACTAGTTGAAAAATAATGGGAAAATTAGTAATGCATCTTCCATATAGGTTGGGTAGTAAGTCGAAGATAATTTTCCATCCTAGTTAAGGTCTCGGTGTCATTAATTAGGTCATTTATCCCACCTTTTACTCTGTTTAACTGATTTTAAAATTTTAAAATTTAATAATTTCTAATTTATATTTTCATTTTTTGTAAAATTTATATTTTTAGAATTCTATTGACAAGAATTTTCAAACAAGATCAATGAATAATATGAAATTTGGAAGAAAAAATTAATGAAATTTCATTGATTCACTGATTCACTAACTTAGTCACCAGAATTTCACTGTCTTGGTCATTAAAACTTTACAAACTATCTGAAATTTCACTGACCTGTCTTGAGTCACTGAAATTTTGTCAACTTTTTTTTTTTATTTTTATTTTATTTTAGAATTTTGTATTCATTATGAATCTTGTTTTATAGACCTTGATGAAATGATTCCAAAAATACAAATTTTATAAATAAAAAAAAAAAATTGAGATCTAACTAAAAAATCACAGAATTTTGAAATTTTCAAACGAGTTAAAAAAGTTGGAGAATTTTATCACCATGTAACTAATATAGAAAATTGTGTTGTCCTTATCCTTATAAAAAAAAAAAAATTAAAAAATTACTAGGGATCTTAAAACCAAAAACCCAAAAATAATTGATAAAACTTAAAAATCGAGTTGCGACTCAACTCGTTTAGCATTTGACAAACTCAAATTCAATTCCAGTCAATGCAATTGTTTACGAGTCTCAAGTATAGAAAGAAAAATTAAACTTAAACTACCATACACAATAAGAGAGGTTAAAAAAAAAAAAAGATTCTACGTAAAATATAAATATCAAAGTAGATGATGGACTCATTTCATACTAGAAATAATTGGAGGAATCTTCGTCTCTATAGTAAATAGAAGAGCAACTAGAATCTGTGTCCGTGTTTTAATAAATGAGATTTTTTTTAAAGATTCTTGATATTAAAATTTTAAGATAAAAGATATACAATATTTTCATAAAAGTTGGAGTATCTCAATATTTTTACAAAGAAATTTTGTCCCGACACGAGAAATTTTAGTTTTCACAGAATTTCAAAATTTCTCTGATATAATTATAGATAAATTTCATCGAGAGACCTTACCTAATAAAATAAAATAAAATAAAACTAGACCTCTACTATTACCTGAAGTTAGAGAGTGATATTTTACTAATTTTTCCTTTAAAAAATATTCACATTATCAATAATTTATTATCCAAATATATAAATGTCCACAAATATCAAACATAAACAGAAGTAAAATAAACTAAATTAATAAAAATATAACTGATATATTATTAAAATAAAAATTAATTTATATGTTCTTATACTCACAAGTTTAACACACATGCTCATCTAAAACGTGAGAATAACTAAAGGTTCTGTTTAGAGTGTGGAGTTGTGATTTAAGCGTGGAATGATGAGTTGAGTTTTGAAAATAAAAAATTTGTTTGGTTATGAGTTTTGAAAAGATTTTTGAGTTTTTGAATTTTGAATTTAAAAAAAAAGTTTTGAGTTGTATTTTGAGTTTTGAGTTTTTGAATTTTGAGTTGTATTTTGAAATATTTTAAATTTATTTTTTAAAATATATAAAAATGTTTAAGAAAATTTTGTTTTTTTTAGTTTAAATATATAATTTTTATTTTAAATATTTTATTTTATTTTTTAAATATTTCAAATTCAAAACAAAACTCCACACTCAAATCTAACCAAATGAATAGATATACACAAATTAATCACAAAGCACATAATTCAAATTCAAATCTCACACAAATTAAATAAATGTAATTATGTTACGTGGTTGGGTAATCCCACTTCTCACTTGGTTTATTATCTCACACCTCTCTATTCTTTTATCTCTCTTTTCTGTTTTTAGCACATCCTAACTCACCTATTCCACCCAACCCACATCTTTCTATTCTTTTGTCTCTCTTTTCTTTTTCTCTATTTTCCCCATATGTGGCCAATGGATAAGTTGAAGGTGCGGGGGGCTTCCACCCCTTATTCCACAATTTCATACCATGCTCAAGCATAGTTGGTGAGGATTCTATTGACAACTTGGCATGGTTGGATGAACTCTCGAATTATTAAAAAAATTAAAATATTACAAAAATATTTATAAAATAAAATAAAATATTTAAAATAAAAAAATAAAACTCAAATATTTTTTTAAAAAATATAGCGTACAATTGTATGAAATATAGTGTACATTAAAAAAATACAACTCAAAACTCTTAACCAAACGATTTTCTATTTTCAAAACTCTACTCAAAGCTCATAACTCAAAACACAATTCCACACTTAAATTATGATTCTAAAAATAATTTTAAAAAGCAAAAAAAAAAAAATCTTTTTTTGAATTTTTAGTAAAATTTTGAAAAAAGTTTAGTTATGAGTTTTGAAAATAGTTACTACAAGAAAAGGGGCTTTATAACATAGAAGCATTTGCGACGGCATCACTTCGCAAAAAGTGATTTTTTGCGACGGCACCACTTGCCGTCGCCAATAAATGGGTTTTTAGCGACGGCACCCCTTCCTGTCACAAAAAAGTAAACTTTTGCGACGGAAACAATTGCAGTCGCAAATAATGCACATTTTTTGCAACGGTAACCCATGCTATCACAAATAAAGCTGTTTTTTGCAACGGCATGAACTGTAGTCGCAAATAAGAGAGTTTTTTTGTGACGGTAATAAGTGTTGTCGCAAACAAAAAAAAAATTAAAAAAAAATAGAAAAAGCGAGACTGTTTTAACGAGACTGCAATTTTTGTAGTGTTTCATCCATTTTTCCATCTCTCTCTCTCTCGCTCATCACTCTTCTCTTTCTCTCTCTTTCACTCATCACTCTTTGTCTGTCTGTCTTTGTCTTTCTCTCTCTCTCTCTCATTCACTCACTCTCTCTCTCTCTCTCTCTCTCCCACATTGTGCTTGCGTTGCTCACTCTCTTCCTCCCTTCTTCTTGATTTACCGATCTTCCTCTCGATTTATCGATCTTTTTTTTTCTCTCTCTCTTCTTTCAATCGCTCATCTCTCATTTCTCTTAATCACTTGTCGAAAAGAGAAAAAAGTCAAAAAATGAAATGGGCCTCTCTCTTTCTCTTTGTGTCTCTCGCTTATCTCGCTTCTTTCTCTCTCTCTCTCACTCATCACTCTTCTCTCTGGCTCTCTTACCTCTTTTCGCTCTCTATCTCTTTTGCTCATCTTTCTTCTCTCTCTCTCTATATATATATATATATATCTTGTTCATATATTTTTGCTGTCTTTCTCTCTCTTTCACTCTCGCTGTCTTTCTCTTTGTCTATCTCTCGCTCATCTTGTTTCTCTTTTTTTTTTTCTCTCTGTGTCTCTCTCTTTCACTCATCTCACTTCTCTCTCAATCGTTCATTTCTCTCAATCACACTCATCACTTTCTCTGAGCCCATGGTTGTTGAAAGAGGAAAAAGTCAAAAAATGAAATAAGTCTCTCTCTCTCTCTCTCTTTTTTTCTTCGTGTCTCTTGCTCATCTCTCTTCTCTCTTTCTTTTACTCATCTATCTTCTCTATCTCACTCATCTCTCTTCTCTATCTCTTTCATCTCTCTCTGTCTCTCTTGCTCATATCTCTTCTCTCTCTTTTTATGTCTCTCTCTATATCTCTCTCATTCATCTCTCTCTCTCTTTCTCTCTCTCTCTCTCTCTCTCTTTCTCTCTTTCGCTGATCATCTCTTGCTTGTCTCTCTTTTTCTGTTTCTCTCTCTTCCTAACTTTCATTGCGTAGCAAAATGGATACGGAGGTTTTTGGCAAAAAAATGAGCTTTTTTTTTTTTTTGCTATGGCAACCTTCCTCCGTCGCAAATACAGGTTATCGGCGATGGCAATACCCCCGTTGCAAATAAAAAAAATTACTAAACAAGCCATGGATTCATTGTTTAAATTTTCATTTGTGACAGTTATCCTTGATGTCGCAAAAAAAAAAAAAAAACCCAAAATCTGATTCGTGCTCGTTTTTCCCCCTTCAACCGAAAATCCACAAATCTCAAATCCCTAATCTTTTGAACCAAAAATCCCTATCTCTCTTTCTCTCTCTCTCGACTGTGAGCAGGGCAGACGACGGTGTCGAGCGATGGCGAGCAGCAAAAGATGACGGCGTCGAGCGACGGCAGTGACAACATGAGACAGCATCAAGCAACAG